GGCTCTGTCGTGGCACTGCGAGCTGTATAGTTCTGTCGTGCACTGCATAAATCACATAGAATTGTGACACATGGGCAAGGCAAAGCCAGGTGCTTGTCAGGAAGGTGCTGGTGGTCATTTCCCTTGGGTCCCGTCATTTTATCCTTTTATCTACAGTGGCGAATAGGCACAAGTTGGAACAATCTTACCTTTAAACTTTACAAGCCTTGTCACTTCAAAGTCTGCTCTGACCCCATGACTCTGAAAAATCAACTGGGGGGACCTACTGTGGTCTGTGTGGCCCAGCTGGACAAATCCCTTCTTTCCTAATCTAGATGCTGTTTAGATCCTCTCCAGTCCTGAAAGCAGAGCTCAGTGCATTATCACCCCCCAGAAAAGAGCATGAGAATGATACTCGAGGCAAGGGGCTTCTGGCTGTCTAGGAACCAGCCACCTCTAGCAGATGGGCAGGAGAAGAACGAGAGGACAGAGAGATCTCAGCTCCTAATTTACAATCTTTCTGCTGTTGCATTGCATCATCTCACTTTCTAGGCCCTTTGTATGCTGTTCAGTCCAGTCGAGAGTTGCCTTCCCTTGGGATATGTACGTGTGGTGGACTAGAGAAGCACAGGCTGGAAAAGATTCACATAGGTCTGATGTTATTTCTCTGTAATAAGATAAACTGCTAACTCTTAATGCTTTGCAGGAAGAGGCAGAAATCTACTTAGTGTTACTATCTGGAGGCCACCCCAGGGCTTGCTGAAATTACCAACCCACCTCTCCAGTGCTTAATATTAACCATGGCTGCTGCATACCAGGCCTCGTGGGCACCATGAAGCCAGTCTCAGTCTGGGGGCTCAACTGAGCTCGCTTTGCATGGGGGTCTGAAAACTGCTGGCAGGGGGGTGCTGCCCAGGGAGGCTTTCCTTTTCCAGCCGCCTTACATGTGCTGCACTGTTCAGCCAGGAGGAGCGTGCTGCAGAGTTGTCTTTTCTTACCCAAAATCTGCTTATTTAAAATCATAGTATTGGAGGTGGTGAAAAAATTAAGTCTGACAGTTTGCATCACATAAGTCAGCTTTTTAATATCAGCAAGAAAAACAGTTTGTGAACTAGTTTCAATGCTAAAATCTTAAATGTGTCTAGTATTTAGTGTGTTACATGTCTGTTATTTATTGTTATTGATCATGTAGGAAGCACTTACAGATACTCGTAGATATTGAGTGCTTTTGGAAGAGTTGTTATGAAAGAGAATTGGGGGAGGAGCTCTAAAACGTTGATATCAAGAAAACTTTTTTTTTTTTTGAGAAGTGAGAGACTCCAGTTGTCCTGAGTTTAATATCTTCACCCAATTAAAAATGGGTCACCATCCTAACATCTTGAGAAGATGTTTTCCTATACTAAATTCTCACACCTGTAACCAGCTGAGCACATGTAACTTCACAAGCAGAAGCAGGTTTCTTTGAATGTGTGAACTTGTATTCACACTTGCAGGTCAGTAGGCTTGCAGCCTGAACTCTTTTGGTATTTTAAAAGCCAGACAGAACACAAAAGTATCTCATTTCCAACAGCTTAACAGACAAAGTTTGGCTAAAGTCACCACTGTGCTTTGATAATACTAGTTTTCCTCATTAGAATTACTATCTGACGCAACGTAAACGTACCATGTTATTTAAGTTAAAGCGGTGTGAGTAATTCATTCAATTAATTAGGTGTGGGTAGCACTTACCTTCCATTGTGAAGGGATCAAAGGAGAACACTTAATAGCATTTATTTTCTTGTTCTGCTCCATACCTTAGTGTCAATTCATTCAAATAACCTTCTGACCCAAATGTTAATATAAGTTATTATTTTATTATGCTTTGGTGAACATTTCTACCTAGTGTTGACATCATGACTGCTGGGACTCAACACGTGCTGCTTTGTAGTAACTGGAAGTGGACAGAAAAATGGTAAAACCACCAAACGAGTGAGGAACACCCAGATAGCTGTAAACCTCTGCCCTTCCTCTGTGATGTACCTCCTTGTTTCTTCCAACCCTGCCCTGGTATTTACAGAAAAAAATTGTGCAGAGAGGCTGAAAGGGAGATTCCACAGATAGACCCAGATGCTTGTGGGTGTCAGTGTGCCCAGCTGAAGGAACTTGAATGGAAAATGGCTGGAAGGGAAGCATTAATTCAGACAAGAATTTGAATTGGACTTTGTGGATGCTTTTGTTTTTATTTGTGGTCTTTTGCTGTATAACTATTGTGGTTCGGTATTAGGGCCTTCACAGAAAGAAGTAGGGGTGAATAAAAGTCAATTTTTCCTTTGACTTCATTATTGCCAAGGTTTCCCTCTGCATCCCTGAGGAATTTCTATTAGAGAGGTTTATTCTCCTAACAATCTATTAGCAGGATTGGCCCCTCATTGAAAGCATGATACAGTGCATGAGATAAAGTAAAATAAGACAAAGTTCTAACCAATTAGATTGTCTGTGGGCACTGAATGTTTTAATTTCTGTGCTAAAGGTATTCACTTCAATCATGAGCTGTTTTGTGAACTGAGCCATTAAAAATGGCCGAGGTCTTGCTAACGCTGTCAGCTAACAGTAATGCATGTCATGCGTACATTTGTGGGGAGACCTTTCAAGTTTGAGACACCAGGTTGGTTTAACAGGCTGGACTTTGATTTTTATTTGTCTGTGGCCATGCTGTGGAGTAAAGGAAATTGAAAGATCTCAGTGTCATTTTTTTTTTTTTTCTTTAGAATGACATATTGTCTTCTTTAGCCATTTAATATAACATAATGCTGTTTCGGACTTTAAAAGACAAGGAGAAATGAGGCTTTATTAAATTCAGTAAGTCATTTGCCTAGGATATTTTTCCACTTTAATTAGATTTTACTACTTGAAATAAGTGAGACTCATTTAATGTTTTCATTCAAGAGTTTGATAAACGACAGCGTCGTACACATCACAAGAAATAAAATCTTTTAGGACACCAGCAACAGTAACAGGGGAATTGCTAAACAGCGGGTTTTGGTTGCATCTATGATAAGTGATCTCTGCACTGTCCCTTAACTCACTGTACAGTAGCTTGTATAGGTGTGTGCCTGTGACCAAACCTGTGCTATGGGTACTTGTGTGTTGGTGCACTGACCTCCCCTCTACTGTTACATTTCCTCCTGCTGAAGGTGTTTGAAAGAACAGAGCTGTCTTTCAAATAAAGACCATAATAGATCCACATCTCTGTGTGGGAGCATGACAGACAGCTGTCTCAGATGATTTACCCCTGTAACTCTGGTGTCTGTTCCTGGGAAAAGCAAAGGAGAAAAAATGCAAAAAGTGGAAGGCAACAAAGGGAAAACCCAGAGAGAGCAGCGATGCCTGTCATTGAGGGCCGAGATGCCTCTCACACAGATTACATTTCTCAGTCTGTAGCCTCAGTACGTGCTGACTGTACTATATTCAGTGTTTCATCAGGCAAAAAACCAAACTTGTACACCAGCCCTTCATAATGGATCACTAATATATGCACTATACCTGGTAAGCTTTAAAACACGCTGGTTTTCCCAAAAATATTGGATATAGAGGCAAAGCTAGATACAGTAGTTGAAAAACTTGTTGGAATCAGTGGGATATGGAGGAGATACTCTGATACAGTACTGCCAGTTCCTGTCCATACGATTAACACTGAACTAGCAGCAGTGTACATGGCCCTTCCACACGTGATTAGCATTGCACATATAACAGAACCTCTTTCTCCAGCTGGGCTTGCTAGTTCATGGAACAGATCCTTTTTTTAGTCTCCAGTTACAACTATCACTGTTGGGATATAAGGAGAGGAGAATAATTTAACTGTATTCCAGTACAGTTGTACCATACAGCCTCGTGTGCCCCTGTAATCTTCTAGTGCCAAATGGACGTAGTTATCCAGCCACCTGCGTGGCAGTTTTGGTGGTGTTTTAAAAGTCATTCGGTACAGACTGAATGTTGGGTATCACAGACTGGATTAGCTCGGGTCATACTCGTTCTTTAGCCTAAAGGCATCTGTTTGCGAGGTGGACAGCAGTTTGCTATATGCCCTGTAGTTTGCAACCTCTTGCCTTCTTCAGTACTAAGCACTGCACAGTATTTCGAAACAGTTACTTTTTCATATTCCATTCAGGACATGATCACAGGGCTTCAAGAGGGCAGTAAAAACATGCATGGTTCATCTGGATGCTTGTTGCTGTTTCTGGAATTTGAGTTAATGAAAACAAAGTTTGAGAAAACTGCTTGCTGGGGTTTTTTTCCCAATCATCTCAATCCCAGTTTGCATTATTGTCCAGAAATTGCAGTGTTGGATCCAGCTGGAAATGACTGCAGTATTATTTTGCCATAACACTACAGTGTTCTGTCTGGAAGTTTAGCTATTTAGATTACACATCCCTCTTGAAGCCTAATGTTCAAGAGCTCTTCATTAGAAATGTCAATGGTATTAAATGGAAATGGATCTTGCATGATGATACAGAAAATCAGAGCGGTAATGCAGTATCCAGTTGGTACAATATTTCCCTTATAACGCATTTCTTGTAATTGTAAATTCCTTAACATAGAGGAGGGTAACTAAAAGAACACAATATATTTATTTTACTATTAAGGTCTTTTAATGAACTTGAAGAAAATAGTTTCAATACAGCGCTGTAAAAACTCTGTTACCTTGTGCACATTGACCCTGGTCCTGCAATTACCTTGAGCACAGCCTCGCTGACTTTAGATGGCTGGCTCACGTGTGGGAAGTTAAACGTACGTGTAGAGCTAAAGCTCCTTCTAGCTGGAACTGAATAGGAAGCTGCCAGATTTGTCCTGGGAGCTCGGCAGCACTTTATAGCATGAGCAGCCCATGGCAGGTCAGTGAGGCCCACGCCTCGGTCCTTCGCTGTGCACAGCTGTGCCGATGGCGATGGGAGCTCTCCTCAGAGGGGTGCCTTGCTGTGGGGCCAGAGGGGTAACCCATCCCCCCACGCAGTCTCTGAATTCCCTGTGGGTTTCTCCCCCAGCTGGCTGTTCCGCACAACGATGAGTGGACCCGCTTCGCTCGGACCCTGGTAGAAATCCGCGCCAACCGAGCAGACAGTGAAGAGGAAGGGGCAGTGGAGCTGTCAGCCTAGAGGAAGGGAAGGAGCAGCGCCCGCCGCCGCCAGAACAGCAGCTTTCCCCCGCTGAGTACGCCGGTGTTCAGTGTCAGAGTCAGTCTTGCTGTGGCTTTTGATGCCAGTGTACGTGCCAGTATTGCTCAAAGCATTCCGTATTAATCATGCTGCTTTACACAAGGCTGAAAATATCCAGAGCATTTTCATTCTTTATATTTCTGCCTGAGAAGTAAGAAAGAAAAGACAAATCAACCCTTTATGGGTTTAGTTGTTGCCTTTTCACTACTTAGTAGCTGTATTTAATAGCTAGGAACCCCTGGTTTAACTTGTGCTCACATTGCCCTTCTGGCATAGTCCTATTAAATCCATATGAAGCCAGATATGATTATGTGCAGATGTGGTGTGCTTCACTGTATGGGACTGGGCCAAAGACTTCAGATGTGGTGTTTCACATGGTGACTTACATTATGAATGGATGTACTATACGAAAGTTGCTGCTCCTTATTTATTGCGGTGTGCTGCATGGAACATATTTATTTGAAAGCATTAAAATAAACGATCCTAAAGCATGTGCATAATGAGAGAACTGCATTGTCTGTGTGCTGCTGTAGAGGTTACATTAAAGTCCACAAAACAATTACAGTACATCAGTTGTGCTTAAGATGTAAGATCTATAAAGGTTGGCTTGAGCGGATGGAATGAGTTTCCTTTCCTTTTTTTTTTTTTTTTTAAGATGCCTATTATTTCTAGGCACTTTAACTATATTTCAAATACAGTTGGTCACTGATACTTGTCATGCAAGTTAACACTAACAGTCTGACAAAGGGTTGTGGTTCCCAAGTATGACACTGGTATTGCCAATAAAATGTATCAAGCCGGTTCTGTTGCACTGTGGTTAATCTTTCCTTGCCAGCAGTGCTCAGCGTGTTCATTACTGGTCACTGGTGAGGCACCGGGAAAATGCAACTGCCCTGACTCGCAGAACGTTCATGCAGCTGCTATGTAGATGATACCTTCGGCTATGGGGATGGGCCAGTAATGGCCTCGCGTGCATCAGATCCTGCTACACATTTTACGTGAGCAGATGCTAACCCGTGTCAGCTTCTAGACTTGATTTTTTTTTTTTCTTCCTCCGTCCCTGGCTGTGCATGCACATGCAGAGCAGCGCCATGCTGCCCTATGCACTAAAAGAAAAGGAACAGGAAAGATGAGGCCTCCTCAGACTGTCTTGAGAGACAGGTTGGGATGGGGACAAGGCAGTGTTCTTTAACAACAAACTCTTGTGGCTTGAGCAAAGAAACAGGGTGCAGACTGATCTCAAGTGCTGCGGCCCCGGGGGATGTTGGTGAATGCAATCCTTGGTGGTGAGGCTGCTCGTTATGTTTGTGTCACAGCATTACACTGAGCCAGAGCACGGCACCAACACCTGGGTTTAACAGTGGTTCATGCTCACCCAGGCAGGCAGGTGAACCATTACAGCAAGAAACACTGGAAGTCAGATGGCAACAAAGATTTTGTACTCAAGTTTGCAGGGAACCGTGTCTCATCTTCAGGCAGCCATGTCAAGGAATATATCATCTAATGCTTTTCAGTGCTGTGGTCAAACCCAGAACCGCTGAGAAGTCTGCACTGCTAAAAGCTAGAGTAGGCTAAGAAAGTGAATCCTTTGGAGAAGCTGGATAGGGAAGAGGGTAACTCTTGGTGGTTAGAAATAACTCCCAGTGAGAACGCACCGGCTGCTTTCTTCTTTATGGTGAGACCTGAAGCAATCCCCCGGTGCCCATGGAAGCCCCATTGGGCTGTTCTAAGCAGGGTCAACAGAGGCAAATCTGTCGCTGGTCTGGTGGCTCCATGGGACTGGAGCCAGGCATTAGGGAATCTTGCGTTCTTGCTGTGCCCCTGGGTGCTCTTAAGAGCTATCCCAAAGAACCACTGCAGCACTCGCTGCACTTTCTTAGCTTAAAGGTGAATGCTAACAAACAACCAGGCAAGACACCTGTAAATCAGCCCTTTAGACATCATCTCTAGGTGGGTTTTTTGGGTTTTGTGTTTTTTTTTTTCTTCAGTTTCTCCCTGTTTTCCTTTCAAAAAGCATTTGTAAGTGTTCTCTATGTATGTGGGCAAAGCAGATGCAGGGCAAAGTGGATGGTGGGAGGCACATTTTGGCCATCAGTGAGCCACAAGATTAGGAATACCTGCACATGCAGATACACAGCAAACTATTGCTGTCACAGGGGAGAAGAGGTGGGCAGCTCCCTGCCCTTCAGCTCCCTCACGGTAAATCCATATCTGAAAGTGTGGGGACACAATGTGAGCGTACACTGCAGTGTAAAGGGAAGGATGTTTAATTGATGTTGTCTCCCATTCATCATAACCGGTGCAGTGGAAATGGTTGGCAAATTTGCGTCCACTTTTTTCATATTACCGTGCAGTTTCTGGAGCCTAAGGGTGGGGGGTGCTGCATGGTCACCTTCCAAGCTCTCTCTGCTTTGTGGCATTAATAGCTTGTAAAACAGTTTTAAGAGCATCCTCAGAAGACCTTCAGCATATGCTGCTGTATGCAAAGGAGTATGACCAAAGTCCCCCCTTTTTTTTTTTTTAATTATTTTTTTTTTTTTTTTTTCTTTTTTTTTTTTTTTGATTAGGGTTCAGCAGTACACAGAGGGAACAAGGAAAAGATCCAGATTTTCACAGAAATTAACAGGTTTGTATATACAGAGTAACAACATTACACACAGCTGAAACAGATGGAAGAGCACCCAACAAGAACGAGACATTAACTCCCTTTCTGCTGGTCGCCACTGCCATGCAGTGAAGTTTCTGACCAGCCTTGTTGCTGTCTTTCCAGGGATCTCCAACAGGTTGTTTGATTGATTTTCCTGCTGCTAAGCAAATAGCTCCACCTTACTGGCTTTCCAAAAGAGCCCATATGATGAGATGTTCCTCAGAATCTGTCCAGCAGGGAAATAAATACAAAATTACCCTTTATTTTGAGCAAAGAGAAAGGATTTTCTCTAGGCTCTTCCACCTACAAACATCCGGAGAACAGAAGAGCATGAAGAGTACATCCCATGTTCTAGCACTGCCGGGATGCTGCCATGCCTGCTCCAGGCATGGAATGAGTTAGAAAACAGCCTGGCTCCACTTTGGGGCCACTGGAAGTGAGATTTCTGTGAAGGACAAAACCTGCGTACTCAGACTGAGCTGGAGAGCGCATCATAAGAAGGGTAAGAAAGAGCAAACCCAACCAGGGAAGAAGCAGGCAAGTGGCACATGGAGATGAGCAATGTGGGCTAAGAAGAGAAAGGCTGAAATGAGGTTTAGGATGGAGGAGAGGGCTGTGAGGTGGATGTGGAAGAGACAACTGTCCTGTGCTTGATGAAGGGAAGACCAGAGTCTCCCTTGATTTCAGTGTCAAGGATCAAAGCCACACCAACACATGTGAGAGGCAGAGGAATGGCATGGCCAGGAACTTGGGATTTGTTCTGCAAGGAGCTGCAAAATGACATGGGGGAACATGGCAGGTGGCACTGGGCAGCTGAAGGCATTAGCCAAAAGGGGAAATGGTTACCTCACCTCTGTGACATGTACTCTGTTCGAGACCCCCATAGGAACAGAGGAAGATGATGATGGCCAGGGCACACTGAAAGAGCATGTGCACGGCCTTGACCAACCTGGAATCCGGCCAGGTCACACAAAAACCAAGCATGGGGCTGGAATGCCAGGCCTGTCATTGCACCTAGACCAAGTGGATGTTTGAAAGGTGAAAACAAAATGGGGTGACCTCCTAAGTTTGAGAGCACCACAGACACCTCCATGGAAAGGCCATCAGAGCAAATGTTTGCTGCTTAAGATTAGGCTCAGCAGAGTTCCCTCTAGCTTGTTACTTCAAAGAGAAAAGGCACGTGGGACAAATGGTGCTGGGCTGCAATGATTCAAGAGCTGCAGCATTTTCTGCAGGGTACTCAGCAACTGCTTCATGGTGAATCTTCCAAGATGAAAGGTACTTCCTCCTGGGTCTCAAAACCAATGCCTCAAGCATCCTCTACTTCTGAAAACAGAGGAGCCCCTGCCACATCCTGGAATATCATGAGCTCTTACTGCAAATGGCAGCCTGCATCTCTAGTGCTACGGATACCACTGGGAATAGGTTCTTTCATACAAGATGTATGGAGAAAGCTCTCAAGAGTTTTAGCAACTTCAGATACAAAGCAAACACAGTAGAAGACTGGAAACCCCTGGAAACCCCTCACAGAGCAAGATGGCATCCCATATAGAGTGGGATGGTCCTCACTGACCTGTGACAGACGAAGGAGACTCTGCTATCACCAGGGCAGCATCAGTCTGAAAGGCCTGTCCTCAGGAAGCTTACAGGACTGTTCTCCTTCAACATCATAAGCAGAGCTTATAAGTGAGCATGAAGGGAGGCCAGATGGCCCCTTGCAATAGAACTAGAGCAGCTGGAATGAATCCTGGAAGCAATAGTGCTGCTTCCTGGTGTGAGGAGGAACAGTGCAAGGAGCAGTTAAAATCATGAATACACTTCTTAAAATGCCACCTCTGTCTGAAGAGCAACAGACACCTTGATGACACCCTTGTGTTAAGCACTGGGAGAGGCTGCCTGCGCTCACAGCCTGAGTTCTCTACCGCTCACTGCGCAGAAGGCAGAACCACTGTATGGCACGTGGCATTAAAGAAACCACTTCATCCCAGGCTGCTTCTGTGTTATTTGCTGGTTTTGAAGCTCTCTGGAGACACTTAAAATACAAATGTTGAGATTTCTATATTCTCAACCATTAAATTACTTACAAATGATCACCATCTCTGGAAATCGTCTTCTAGCTTACGCAAAAATGGCAAATATTTCAACTGAAAACGGTCTGGATTTCAGAGCAGTGTTTAAACAGCAAGGTTGGAGGACTCCTTGTTCGTCCCCCTGCCACGTGTGTGTTGGGAGTGCTGAGCTCAGCAGTAAGCAGCATGACATGCATGCACATCATGGGGTGTATGGCAGGGACATTCCTGAGCAGGCTGTCCCCTCCTAAGGAAGATGCAGAGCAGTTTGTCGGGTTTCGTATTTTTAGCAGGTTTAGAAAAACCTGCCCAAGTTATTTTTGAAGCCTGTGGTATGTTTGCTCACAAAAGCGTCCCAGCAAACTGTCAATATTAAGTCAGCTTAAACCCAACCCACTCCCCAGGGACCAGGCAGAAAAGCATCCCTCAATTTCTGCTGGACCAAGAAACACAAACGGGGAAACTGCTTCAGGGACACCCTCACCCCACTCTCACGCGGAAAGATAACATCACCAATATTTGATCATTTCTTTGTTTTGGAAGTGCTGTCATGTGGAGTTAACTGGACTGCAGGAAGCAAGCAAGGTTACATTTTATCCCGTTCCTCCCACACTTTGCATAACTCACCCAGAAACCCAAAGAGGATAAACATCTAAAACATTGTTCTCGGGGACTTTTGTTTGTTTGTATGGCAATCTGACAATTTTTTGGCCTGTAAACTTTTCAGAGCAGAAATGCATCCTTTTGTGTCTGGAGGAAGCCAACTGTGGGCTCAGCTCTTCCCCAAGATCTCTGGGCAGGGCTGTAGTGTGCTTTGAAACATTCTGAACTGGGTTGTGTGTTAAATTGGCTCTTCAACCCTTCTGCCCCTGCCTCCATTATCTACTGGCCTGGAAAAGAAGGACAGAGGACAGAACAACACCCCCAAAAGACAGTTATGGGGAAGGGAAGGGCCTGGGGTGGGGGTGAGGGTGGGCAGCATCAGTCCAGCCTTGCTCACCTGCCTGCCAGGGAGAAGATGAAGGCTTGTGGCCTTCTGAGATGGACCTGCCACAGAAAAGGACAAGACATAAAGACACTGCTGGGTC